CAGCACTTTGGGAACCTCCATGTGCAGATTTCGTGGCAGGTGCAGCACTTCGTGAACTTCCATGTGCAGATTTCGTGGCAGGCACAGGACTTTGTGCGCCTCCATGTGCAGATGTCGTGGTAGGTGCAGCACTTTGCAGAATTCGTGGCAGGCACAGCACTTTGTGAACCTCCATGTGCAGATGTCGTGGAGGTTCACAAAGTGCTGCACCTGCCACGAAATCTGCACATGGAGGCTCACAAAGTGCTGCACCTGCCACGAAATCTTCACTTCAAGAAACAAGTGAAAACTCTAATCCCAAGGACGGACGATTCCGAGAATGATCCGAGAATGATCCGAACATGACCCGAGACCGTCTCGCAACCGTCGTTCCGCAGACCTTGACTTGCCAGCTTCGGAGCCACCGGTTCCATTGAAAAATACAGCATTTCGTGCCTTCGCTATCTCTCCACTACGCATTTTGTATTGCGCCAGCCACGACATCTGCACATGGAGGTGCGCAAAGTGCTGTGCCTGCCACGAAATCTGCACATGGAGGTTCACAAAGTGCTGCGCCCACCACGACATCTGCACATGAGGTTCACAAAGTGCTACGAAATCTGCACATGGAGGTTCACAAAGTGCTGCACCTGCCACAAAACCTGCGCATGGAGGTTCACAAAGTGCTGCGCCTGCCACGAAATCTGCACATGGAGGTTCATAAAGTGCTGCACCTGCCACGAAATCTGCACCTGGAGCTGGAGTTGCCTGGAGCTTGAGCTGTTGAAACCAGAGCTGGTGTATGAGCGGTGTATGATGACTGGTGTATGATGAGTGGTGTGTGAGCAGTCGTGTATGATGAGTGGTGTATGATGAGTAGTGTATGATGAGTGGTGGTTGAATAGCTATTGAATGTCCGTAACACGGAAGTTTTGCACACTAAACTTCTTTTGATAAGCCTAAGAAATATCCCTAACAATACATTTTTTGAATCAATCCGAAATATGTTCTGGAACCTATATTCCCGAACCTGCTCCGGAATTATATATTCCGGAATCAATATTTCGGAATTTGCTCCGACGAACCTATTCCGGACCCTGCTTAGGAACCTCTTCCGGAACCGACTCCGAAAATTCCTCCGGAACCCTGTTCCGGAACCTACTCCGGATTCGATTCCGGAATTGATTCCGGAACCTCCTCCGGAACTTGCTGCGGAATTTCCTGCGGAATCTCCTCCAGAACTTGTTCTGGAACCTGTTCCGGAACCTACTCCGGAACCTGTTCCAGGAATCTGCTCCGGAATCTCCTCCAGAACCTTCTCCGGAACTCTTCCGGAGCCTGCTCCGAAGCCGTTATGGCACAAGGTTCCTAATTTCGTTATTGGACAATAATAATTTGACCAATTTGTGTGTTTTTTTTTTTCAATCTTTGCCATCTAAAAATTGCTGACACCTCATTTTCTCGGATAAATCCTTCTCCTCCAAATTATCGACAACCTTACGCCTCTGCTTCCTTTAATATATCAAATGAATCTCCAATAAATCCTAAGTAAGCCCCACGACTAACATCAATTCTATTAATATTAGCAAACCTTAAGAATAAATCAAATAATTATATTCCTTATATCATTTATATCCATCTAAAATCCTTCGCACTTTCTCCTAGCACAATAAAATATATTATCCATAATTTAAAATCTATATTTCCTTAAAATGACTAAATTAATCATTATCCATCCGAATTCTACCAAAATCTCTATATCGGAATCTATTTATTCTACGAAGACCCCCACATAATAAAATATCCTACAAAATCCAATCCATCACGAAAACCCTAAATCTTTCATATATCCTTTAAAATAATGATTCGAACCGCATATATACAAAACGATATATAATTTACCCTCCCCATAATTCTTATCAACTATCAATCAAATTAAATACTAAAAATAAGAATATAATCAAATAATATTAAAATTTGCATTATCAATAATAATGCAATTTAAGATCTTTAAAAATAAAGATCAAACCAATTTTATCTAGATATATATTATATTTTATTATACCCTCCGAAACAATTTTCAAAATATCGTAATAAATAAATAATTTATCCGATATATCTATCTTCTGTATCATCAATCAAAGATAATTAATAATAATTAATATTCACGATATATCTATTTCAATTCATTTAATAAATATATTTTTATACGAAATACCATAATCATTCTCATAAATCTTAATATCCTCGATAATTATACGCATTTCAAAATAATTTCGTCGAAAATATAGATCTAAATATATATATATGGATTGCGCTCAAAAAGCCCTAATCAAAAATTATAGATAAACGTAAATGTTTAAGGATTAGAGATGTAGTTTTAAATCTTCGTTTAAATGCGGGTATTTCTTCATAACAAGATAAACAAATATGAAAAAGAAACAAACAAAGAGCAAGAAAAAGAAGAAACTAAACAAGAACAAAAAAAAGAAGAAGAAGAAGAAGACAAACAAACAAGAAATATATTTTTGCGCTAGGCTGCCGCTAAATCCGCGCTAAATAACGGTCCATTTCTTAACCATTTGTCCATAAAATATCCAAATCTTTTAAGTCAATTTTTTATCCTTCCTATATCGTCCTGAAGATTTCTACGAACAACAATGGGCAAATCCAACAACAATAATAATAATATCAATAATTCAATAAATTCCTAATCCATACTAATAATTTTTGCAATCGACATGCCTTCATGCTTAATATACCTACGGTTTAAATATAATTAAGATTTAAAAGATATTTAGCAACGAATTCCCACGGAATTACGCAAATATACAATTTTAGAAAATTATTTTTTAAACATCATTCATAATAATACATTAATCAATAAATATTTTCAACATTAATCAAAATAATTATCGAAACATATATATTTATTCGAATTAAAATACAAGATATATATAATATAAAAAAATGATATTCACATTAAAATATGTAAACCATTCCGTTTTATTCATAATTCGATCTTAAAATAAATTTTAAACATATTTAAATATATATATTATATATTTATATCGAATTTAAGTTATATTAATCTATAAAAAAATCAATAATTAAAATCTATTTCCAATATCTTCAATATACGAATATATCATCATTAAAAAAGAATCTATTATGTATATAATGTATATATATATTATAGATTTTAGATATATATATATATTTATATTTAATTATTTCCTTTTTATGAAAATTTGCGATATTGAAATCAGCATTTAGGCATCGCATGGAAGGTGTATAAATATGATTCCAATAATGTTGAGGATGTCAAGAAAATAATGAAAAATAGATTGCGATAATTTGGGTGAACATGTCTTTGATGCGGACATCTTCACCTTCCGAGCTTCGCAGACTTCTTTGAGGACTAGTCCGAAAATTTATGCGAACAAGTTTCTTTCACAAAACCCGGGACTCGTCCATCAGCGCAATTCTCGCATCCTCTCAGCAAGAGATGAACCTTTAGTCAACTTGTTTTGTCTTTGTGAGGGGTTCACAAAACATTCCAAGTGTCTCCAGAATTGCCACACGGCTTCCTTGCTAACGATGTTTTGATCCGTGGTGTGCAGTGGTGCTTGCACATGGCCAATGCGAAGTGACTTGTAATATCTGAATTCGATTATATTCATGGTTGCTTAATGATCTTAATGTGGGTCTGACAGATTTGTCTACCAATTTCACGACATACAAATAATTTGCCTCTCAGCGTGCGGTCACCAATGAGCGGTCATACACCTGTCACCAATGATCAGGTCAGAATAGTGGCATGGGCGTCAACAAGGCAAGTATGCGACTGGTCTTTGCCGACATCAGCAACAAATACAGGTGGTCTTGAAAGCAAGCAGAGTACTAATTTGGAAAGGACAGGGTAATTACGGAGAGTTGCTGTTGCTTGTGCACGTGTAGCCTTTTGTAGCCACATGTAGATTGCAGATCAATAAGGGAAAAGGATGAGTAGCTACGGCAACCCACTCTGATGTTCACGGCAACTGTTGGATGCTTTTTGTAGTCTCAGAAATGGTGAGAGCGTGAGACCATAGTGTTTTTGTGCGTCAGTCAGAAAAATTAGCTGCCTTTATTAATGCGTGTATGTCTGTCATGTTGGGTGTATTTTATGAAACTTGCCTGAAGCAACCTGAGTGAGGCCTTACCATTGGTGTTCCATTTGGAAAAGTGGCGCAAGAGGTTGGTAGGAAAGCGTTTCACTGAACTCTTTGCAAGGCCTCAGAAGGAAACTTTTGAAACCAGTGTCTTTTTTAGCCCGGAGGTAAGTGAACAGCACCAGTCTGTGTGGGCACCAAGACTAAGACCACGCTATATTTCCCATACAAGTCCTACGGGGTCTACAAGGCTCTACCTGGCTGTGCATCCATCGGTCTGCCACGTGTGTGTGTGTGTGTGTGTGTCTCTTATCCTGTCTCTCGTAATTACCAAACAAAAACTGTGTGTATATACATAATGAGTCCAACGCACAAAGGCGTCACAAAGGTCAGCAACCTTGTCGATGGAGGCCAGGAACTTCCTCACAGATCGCGAGAGTGGGACAGGCGAACCGCATGAATGGTGCCGCCCAGTGTACACTGTACACTATGATGGTGAGAACTTGAGCAACGAAGCTGGCTACAAATCACTAGTTCTGTCAAGTGTCTGATAAGCTTTCTCGAGCTTCTTGCATTCAGGGTCCTTCCTGATTTTGTCCTCGTCGTCAATGCCGCAAAAGCAGGACAGTCCGTCGTGGGAACATCTTGGGCAAAACAATAGCCTCCAACAATAATATAGCGATGGCCTCCAACTTACTTTCGATGGCCTCCAACCTAGTAGCGATGGCCTCCAATCTACTAGCGGTGGCCTCCAACCCACTAGCGATGGCCTCCAACCTCAATGCTGCATTGGCCTCCAACCGAATAGCCTCTGTGAATTTTGGTTTGCGTGGTCCTTGATGCAGCCTTCATTGAACTTCACAGCTCTGACACCCTTGACCACCTAGATGGACTGAAAGTTGCAAGCCAACCCTTTGCATACAAATTCTGGCAATGAGCACAATGTGACAAACATCATGACAGCGCCTTCAACAAACCGCTGAGCGGAATCCCTGTTCGCACAATTCAGTCTGCACAACTTCTGCAACTCTTTAGTACACTTGTGGCTTGGCGCAAGACGTCGTCACGAGTGATACCGATGGGCAACATTTTCTCCTGACAAAAGTAAATAGATGTAAATAGATTGATAATTAGGTGTTAGCCGAGCGTCTTTCTGTTTTGACTTTAAGCTGAGGAGCTGAAGAAACACCTGCGGTCCTTCAGGGTGACCTCTTGCATCTTGCCAAGCAGCTCGGCGCGTGCGTCTACAGTCTGACCGTCCTATCGATCCGTGAGATCAGGGATACCGCAAAGTCCCGGCTACGCCAACCACAATATGGAGGGAGCCTCTGTAACTCCAGATTCTCCCCGAATACACACTGAAAGGTGTGCTTAGCATGTCATCTGGAAGCATGACAGCAAGACATTTCCTGGGCAAACTCTGTGAACCATTGGCGGAATTGTTTGTAGATTCCTTCCTGGCAAGTCAAGCGCAATTGCACCAGATGTTAGAAGCTAGACCACTGATGAATGCGTAAGCTGACGTTCTTCAATCACAGTCTGCATTCAAACAAACATATTGTCTTCTCACGAACCAACACCTGGCTAGAAAAATAGACAGTAATCGATGCTTTTAAGCCGAGAACAGTCTAATAATTCCTGACTACCCTCCAGAGTTTGTGTTTCGCTGGCACCTGGCGCTTTTCCTCCTTCGCACGCCATTCACGCCGGGCGGCCACAACTTCTGGAGAATCCTGCATCACAGTGGAAAAGAACTGTGGTATGAAACACGTTGTGTTGAGTTCAGCGACATGTTGTCTACACAGAAACGTTTTGCGTTGATCACGTCTAAATGGTTCCACAGAAGCCTCATCCACAACCTGCCTCCAAAACCTGTTCTCAAGCTCTTTTTCATAGCAGAAGACCCCTAGCTCTCACAGCCTTCAGTGTTGGCAAGTAGCTGCAAAACAAATAAGGATTACAGTTTTACTTCCACAGTTATACATGTGTGTTCAAATTTTGGTTGGCCTACAGTAGTTGACTTTGACCCGAATCTCTACCCTTTTGGATCATGTGAGGTATGAAGACAACCAGTGCGCACATCAGGTTGCTAAGCTGTGGGTTATTGTTTTCCATTGTTTTGTGGTGCTATGATGTGCTATGCCTATGCCCCAACAAACGTTTTTGATGTCCAAAAGTACGGGAAAGTAACAATGCGATCGGTGTCTGAGAGAGGCGGGTGAGAGCATCATCTACTTTTCACCAGCTCAACATTGCTGGCCTGCCCCAGCCCTACTACCAGTTTTCCAAGGGTTTCTGCCATGGTCGGTGTGGGTTACCCTGAAGGAGAAGTTGGTAATTACAAAGTTGGTGGAGATGAGCAGTTTGATGTCACTCAAGGTCCGATTTTGCCCATGTGTGAATCGCCTCACAATGCAACAATGAAGTCAAGAATGCTAATGCGAAATGGAATCCTGAATTTTGACGATGCTGGTCTCATCATCATATTTTGCCCTTTGTCCCAAATATATACTCACACTAGACCTTCTGAGGTTCCAGCTCTGTCCAACTTATCATGGAATACTGTCATTATTCTTTCTCCAAGTTTGCGGGGTTGAGGATTTCACACCCATTTTTCAAAAGTATTCCACCCTGGGACCCTGGGTATTGTTTTCTTGATGGTAGCTGCTTCCCTTGTGCCTGTAGAGACTTGCAAAAGGCCTCTGCAGGTTTGTGTGCTGGATCATGTGAATACGTGGAGTCCGGAGTCCCTTCCCAGAACGGACCAGATGCCCCAGAGAGCAGAGCTGTTTGCTCTGTGGCTAGTTCTTGAACATTTTGCTGGTGATATCGACGTCGCTACGGATTCTCAATCAATGATCTCTGGCTTTCGCTACTCACAAATTGGGGCCTTGGCACAAACACTCCTTCAACATCTGGGCTTACATAATGCAACGTGGCAGCACTTCGCCACACTGACCCAACTGCATGATCAGGTGCACCGGACATCCAGATCGTGCAAGGTTCCTAGCTTGCCCTGCTCTAAACGCAATCGTTCATGCAATCAGTGGGAAACATAGAGCAAATCGGGCGTAGGGCTGCTGCGCACACATTTGCGTTCCATGACAGAACCGGCTGGCACGTGCTTGCGTTTGCGCAGTTGAAGGTGGCCGGTGAACTGGCAATCCACCCAGACCCCCCAATGGCGCGCTTGAGGCAAACAACCTGCCAGCCCCGCATTCGAAAAAAACCGCCTCCGCTTTCACTCGCAGCAGAAACTGCCAAGCCAACAGAAACAAGTCCCCATCCGCTTGGAAGCCTAGGTCCAGTGGCCAGCTCTGCCTTTCTGAGCCCTTGTAACGCCTTCAGAAGGCCAGTCCAAGCTTAGAGCATGAAACTTGCAGGCCCAGGCCAGTTTTTGGCAGCCCCTGCCGGGGAAAAAAGCGCAATGAATCGCAACACGTAGAGCGCGCATCTAGACGGCAGAGTGGCTGACTCTGCAGGATTAGCCAAGCCCGAGGCAACCGAAGGCCGACTTCCTTGCTGCAAGAAGAGTCGTTGAAGCTGTCTGCCCTAAAGTGTGTTCCAGGCTCCTTTGTCAAAGACTTCATGACAGCGAGGAGCCCACGGTGACTCTTCTCTCCTATGTCCATGAGCATGGCTAACTCAGAACGGCCGACCATGTCGGCCGCAACAGATGCAGAAATTTCCACAGGCACTCCTTCCTATGCTCCTTGAGCTCTTGTTGCATTGAGTCATACCCGCCTGGAACTTGTGAGGCGAAGCTGCACCTTCGCAAGCGGGCAATTCGCCCACCAGTGGGAAACCTGTTGCAAGTCCTTCAAGAAGTCGGCAGCTGTGAGGCAGCTGTGAGGCGCCACCCACATTGGCCCATGGATGCGCGCGCGCACGGAACCTGGAGTTGAGGGTGGATTTGTTCCAACCAGCCCTCTCGGTCATGGTCTAGCTGGCCAATCAGATGTATGATTAGTAGTCCTAAAGGTATGAATCTCTTCGGCTGTGTTGCCACACTCAAACGCAATTGCTTCCATGATGTCGGGATCAAGTGGTTTGGGAACTGCTGCTGGGTGTTGAACGCTTACCGAAAAGGCAACATGAGACATGGGGCCTCATGGAGCCCAACAGGAGCACCGAGGCCATTTGGAAACAAAACTTCAATGCGGGCGCAGCCCTCAACAACTTTGCCTCTGTTTCCTGCAACTGAGTGGGCAACTCCGACCCGTGAGCATGCACCGCCACCGCAGGGTTCTCCCAACACCCCCGCAAAAGCAAAGCCAACCGGAGGCACAGGAGAGGTGACTAAGTTCGCATCAACCAAACCCCCTTTGTTCCAACCAACCCGGAAAGACCCCCGCGCAACTTTAAGGGTACCCGGCCAGGTGAGCTTAACTTGAGGCACCAGGTGCCATGCAGGCACGTTATGTAAAAGAGCTTGGGCTTTCCAAAGGGGACCATGTAATCCGAGAACCTGATCCGTACAAAGTGTACACGAGGCAAGTCTCGAAGTGTCCGGAAGCCAGGAAGCAACCGCAACCAAGGTTCTCAACCGAAAACGTGGCCCCCTTACTCCACGGAAAAATACACAAAGACATTGTGAAAGAGGCCAGCCCCTTTCCTTTCTGCAGCCAGTCGCGTTGTTTGTAACTGACATCCTGCCGGCCCAAAGGCCAATCTACGAACCTCAGCTGCGGAACCCGGTCCCAAGTCATGGTCATATGCGGGGTGGCGAAATGCACGTGCTTCAGCCGCCCCGCTTCCACGGCTTTAAAAGTCAAATGTCCATCTCTCAAAACATCTGATTCGGAACCAGGAGTGGTATCCCACGGCCTGGCGCATGAAACACCATGAGCCATCATGGCAAGCGTCAAAACCCCAGACACTGCGAAGCACTCCAAAAAGAGGGGCTCCGTTGAATGACTGGAGATGGATGGCAGAGCAGTATTAAACATGGGTGCCGGGAAAAAACTTCAGCTGTCACCCGTTTGTTGGCAAGTCAGCGTCTAGGTCTAGCCTCCTTTCGTTTTTGCTGCTCTTCTCGCCACTCTGCATTCTTCGGAAACCATTTCTGAATCTTCAACTGTCTATTGCTAAACTGCTGGCCTTGACCTTTGCCAGGCCCTTTGGTGGTCAAGGCTTGGCTCTGGCTCAACAGCTGCTGCTGAGTTTCCATAAGCTGTTTGGTTGCCCGGTCTGCTTGCTTCTGCGCTGCCTCTGCAGCGGCAAGTTGGTGCGAGATGACCGAATCAGCTCCTGGTAGTAAGTCCGCCATCTTGGGTGAAGTGGGCTGGTCCTGCGCTGACAGCAAGTCTTTGTCCACTTTCTGCGCTTCAGCGGCAATATCAAGAGCAGGATCACTTTTCTCAGCTCTCCTAGCCCAACTCTTCCTCAGCAGTTCTTCGTACAAAAATGCAAGAAATGGGCGATTGCTCTTCAATCGCTCCTGTTCTGCCAACTGCAAGACAATGTCCATGTGGGCAAGTACACTTGGCCATGACAATTGGCTGGCGCCACTGCTACTGCGGCATACCTGAGAAAGGCACCACTCCGTGCGAAAGAAGCGTGGAGAGGCTGTGGCGCTCTTGAATGCGTTTCCCAAGTCTTGCAGAGATGCAATGGGCACCTGGCCTTGAAGCGGCCACTCACCATCATCGTGGATCTGAAACTTTCCACCAATCATGTCTGGGGTCAACCACATAGGCAAGGTCTCTTTGGCTGTCAAGTCAACAAAGGAACGGTGTCTTGCGGGAAGTACGACATTCTTCTGTGTGCTGCCGCGTGCTACTCTACAAAACCTGTTCAGCCTGTAGGCCAAAGGTAGCGTGCTTCAGGCCAGCTCTGTCCAGTAAGTTTGCCACATCAGCAGCCTTGCCTGGGGCCAGCATCTTCGCTAAGGCTTGCGTGGAAGCTTGGCTGGAAGAAGTCAGCCCAGTGGCCTGGGCATTGCGGCGTGCCTGGGCCACTGAGTCGACGGCTCGCAAGACTCGACGTATACAGGCTTGGACCGGCAGCTCATTCGGCAATTTCTCAGCAACTAAGGACTCTGTGTACCCTTCGGCCAGCAACGGAGAAGCTACCTGCAGCACATCATTGAACCATCGAATGGTAGCAGCCACCACTACCTCACCTGGGGACGGATCTTCCACTTGTTTCAGAAATTCCCCCCAAGTAGAGGCCATAGCCTTGGTCCTAAGAGATCTCTAAGAGAAATCGGAGGAGTGGTTCCAGCCAAGGCTACAGAAATCGCTCGATCATGTGTGTGCCTTGGCACACACCTCAGGTTGCGTGCAACAAAACATTCTTTCATTAAATTGCTTGACAATCATGACTTGTGGTCTGCAATTGCTTGCGCTGCTGAATCATTTGAAGGCCGAATCCACCTGTCCAAGGTTAAAGCGCATGCAGGTCGAAGTGTGAGCTCGGGGTATGCGCCGGAAAGTGCGCTTGCTCAACCTATTGCTGCTGGTGAGCTATCTTTTACTTGTGGCCCTGTGCACTCAGTGGTTGACCATGACTTTGAAGGTACAGTAAGTTTGTTTCTGATCCCACCAACCTGCTGTTTTCGATCAAGTTCGCAAGCACCACCGGCGGTTTGCTGATTCAACTTGATGCCCGGACCGGACGTCAGTCCCATGTGCTCGCGTCATATTCCGAAACATTGCCCCGGAGATGCTTCATCAGTCTATGACTTGCAAGGTTTTGCGCTCAATCAGATTATATTTGGAACGTGCTGCGTGCTTGTACTTGTCTGGACCCAAAAAATGATGACTCGCGAGTCCTCTGGGTATTGGTGTTCCTAATTGTTCCTAGATTTTTGCACTCAGAGCAGTGATGTGGAGTGGTTGGCTTCGAACGGTTCTTTTCACAAAGCAGTGTCATTTCCGTGTTCTGTTCACCTCTATTATGAAAGCTTGCGGGCTGCGGATCTATCCTTACAGAAAGATTTCCCTACTTCAGAACTTTGGCTTTGGCTTCCTGTCCGGCTTCGTTGGCGGCATTCATCTGACTTATCCTGTTCGGGTCTGGTATGCTCTTGCTTCGGCTGCTTTGGCCATGGTGAATGGGGCTGATTCTTCTAGGAAGGACGCTACTAGGTGGAGGCCATCGCCACTAGGTTGGAGGCCATTGCTACTAGGAGCAAGAAACTACTAGTAGCAAGGATCACTTTGTCCCGAATCTTCGTGAGTGTTGTTCTTCTATCTATGCTTTACCCCTTCCGGCGGTTGACTCAGTGTAGAAGGCAACGGTGAAGTGGACACCCTCATTCTTTAACGGGTAGCGAGCTTGAGAGGCAGGCCGGCCGGTTTGCAGCAAGCAAACATGATATTAGATGAAAAACAGAACCTTTGCATACCTATGGTAGAATCCCCTGTACTGGCTCAAGTCATACCCTTGAGAGCAAGATTGTGAGATTCTCTGCTGCATCCTGTTCCTTGAGACCTAAAACCGCTATTTTACAGAGAATTGTTAGTAATAGAATCTGATGTCTCATTCTCTCTGATCAGGACAAAAGAATCCATGATTGACAGCAACTGCAGTCCGCCAAGGTCTTGAAGTCATCGACGCCAGTGACGACACTGCCCTCAGGATTCCACACATGATATATAGATCTATATATTTATCTCAGATTCTGTCAAGATTCTGGCCCTCTGGCGCTCTGGTATTAAAAGCAAACAATGAGGCTGGAAAGAAAGCATGGTGGCAGTCACTCAGCTCGGCAATGATGCGCGATACTATCATAGTTGTGTTGTGTGTGGTGCAGGATCAAACGGACAGGCCAACAATCTTAGTCATATGTTGTGCTGTTGTGTAAAAACTGAAGGGAAGTCAATTATGCCAAAACCCAAGCAATTGCATAGAATTGCATCTTTTCGACTCACGCATGAACATCGAATCTTCGCTGCCGGCCCTACAAGCATCCAGTTGCGGAGTGGTGAGTCGAGGCCGTCTGCAGCAAACGGAATTTTTGCTTAACCTGTAAATCTTTCAAAAATGAATGGACAACACGAGGAGTAGGAGTTTGTTCTCTCTGCGATGTTGACACTGCTCCACTAAATTGATCACATGTCAGAGGATAAAGCTTGCTGCTCATTTCGCAAGCACCGACCGTATGACCGAACAGCTGCTCTTCTGAAGGCCTAAGCCACCGGTACCCTTTCTAGACACAAGTGCAGAATTGAACCGAATCACTCGTAGTGTTTGCTTTGGAGAGTAAACTTGCTGAAGGGTCGGTGACTCGTGGCTGCCCCGATTGCTCTATAATACTGGCCTTGACATTGGTCTCGGCCACCTGACCACAAAGACGAGACGCTGCAATGGAAGGGCCCTCACAAAGTCCACACTAAACACGACGCCATTACAGCTCCGAAACATGGGCCGTCGGTGGTGGAACCGCTTCTTTCGTGCAGAAACGCCAATTGGCCACATGCATCATTGATCCCAGAAAGCCGCTGCCCAGCCAGCTCTCAAAGCTAGCGGCCAAAATGGCCAAAGCAAAAAGATTCTTGAACTTACAGCAAAAGGCTCTTGAGCTCTCTGATTGTCACTTCAATGACACTCTGCTCTCTGGTCTTCTCAATCCTTGGTAGTCGGGACTGGTCCAATAGTCAAGGAATGTGCACGGTAAAGGAGTGCACAAAAATCTAAAGCAAGCAGGCCAGTGGCCAGCAGGGCTTGGCCGCACTCATCAGCATCAAGTCACTCATAACGTCAAAGCACATAATAATGTGTAAAACGTCTGATGCAGTTTCAAATACCAGGTGATCTTTCTAGAGATGATGATCTTTCTTCCGAAAACAACTTGAGACAAATGTTGGAACTCTTTGAATCCACCAAAGAGTGCCCAGCCGAATGTCCGTCAAAAGATGCGAACGGCAACTTGATGCAGAACTGGACGTCAAACGTCAAAGTATGGGCATTCCCTTGACTACACAAGGTGGATTTGTATAGCCAAATGACGATATTGCGCACTTGAAAAGGAGAATCTGTACCACCTTTCAACATATCAGCCTGCATCATAATATGCTGCCGAATTTTAGGGCAAAATAGCTCAGAAATATTTCGTTATCCGAAGAGTCAGACAGCCGACCCAAGAACGGATGTCTTAATCAATCGGGATTGATTGGCCAGCATCCGAGACAATCTCCAAAGCATTCCACACAGCTTTGTGAATAAAAATGTATCTAAGATTGGTGAGTTGATGGAGACATACCGATTGCAGTCCGAAGCCACGTTTCTATTCAGATTCGCCAGAACAACATTTCTTCACAGGACATATATCTGTATATATCACAGCGCAACCCCGTGAGCATGGTGAGATAGGGCATGCCCGGCCTTGAGTCAAGTTTGGCAGCTTGGTTTACATGGTCATTCTGCGAAAATCAAATGGTAGAGATGTTCTTACATTCTAGGCACATGGGCATTGGAGGCCATCGCTAGTAGGTTGGAGGCTATTACTGATACATGCTGCTATGCTCACGGGAGCCCGTCTGGCTCACTTTGCTCTTCACTGCACCGTCCCTGTTGTAGCGCTTCGTAGCCTTGATTGAGCCAGTCAGTACCTGTCATGTTGGTGACATGTCATGACCACTCCTAAGCCACAAGACATTCTTCCCGTGACTTTCATGAGATGATTCTTCTTGTGCAAACACCTACAGTACAAAACCTTGGTGTGAAGATGTGTAAAGCACACTTAATTCTCATGGGCGCGCCTGACAAGTGGATCTGTTCTGCAAGATTTTGACTCGTTGACGCATCGAACCTTGGTTTCATACTTACTCTGTGAATCAAAAAAGCAGCACTCCAAGATCACGCATGAGTTGCACAATGTTGAAACCGCAGTGAACATGAACAACTCCACATGACGAGGGGCAGCCGAGTCTGTGGAATGCGACTTGAGTCTGGCTGTTGTTGCGGCATCAATGACATGTCTGATTGCCTTCAGGAATCCAAGCCGCATTTGCTGATAAAACTTCCAAAATCAATCGCTTGCTGTGGTACAGACTCGTACAGACTACATCTCAGAAGGCAAAGTTATCATGCATCAGTCTGTGGCCAGAACAAGAACCGGTTATACTGGGAGCACCTGTGATGCTCTTACCGAAAGGATGTCTTCGGAGCCCAGGATGACTCTAGCCAGCAGAGAATTCCACAAGCTAGAGAAAATCCGGTCCACAAGAGCTGGAGAAGAAAACCCCGAAAACCCCCTACATGTGATGAAACTGGGAGACCAGCAATGACCAGACTTGTGACCTTGGCCTCTGAGGGACAGCGCACACTTTTCCGTGGGTATGTGCTTCCGTGTGTGCAGTCTTGACATGCAGCTGTTCGATGCCTAAACAGACTGGAAGGTCACAATCAACTGTTCGGGTGAAGGTAACAATATACTATAAAATATTTTATACAACTGACTGCACGCTTTGATGGGATAGTCTCAGAGTTGCCAATACACAATACCCCTGGAAAGACTGTATGCAACAGATTCTTTGTTTTGATGGCCTATGAAGAAAGGCAGGAACTGGAAGCTGCGCATCTTCTAGGCGCGTCAACCTGTGCTTTTCAAGTCTGGACAAGGAAAAAGGCTACATGCAAGATTGAGCGCAAGCAAAAAAATTGACGTCAATCACTGTCAATCACTACATCTAGCGGCTAGCCGCTTTCATTATTGGGAGATGCCGCGGAGATGCTTCTTACTTACCAGAATCCTCTTCACACTAAATTGAGGGAAGTGTCTGCATTTCCTCGCCAATCCGGGCTTCTGGTGCGAGCAGATTTGGTGCCAGTGTCGATGGGGACGATGTAGTTGCCCTGATCACAGCACGCACTCTGAATTCTACAAGCACCTGAACATCTGCGCAACGTCTTGCCAGGATCTCTTCAAGTCTGCCAATCAAAAGGCCAACAAGACAAAAAGGTGTGCTTTCTTGCTATTGAGACCTCTTGTGTGCGTGTGTGTTGCTAAGCGAGATAAGACCACCAAGATGCACGTGCTACTGCGTTACATAATTGAAAGCTGGACGTGGCCTCTATGAAGCCCTCATATTTCGACTACTAGGGCGGGCTGCGGCAATCGCTACTAGGAGCAACGACGATACTAGGGCTCCTTGCCCTTACTACTAGGAGCAAGGCCTCTAATAATTCTGACCCGGAGATGGTAATTTGAAATTGACACTGTGGAGCTTGCGCATTGGGTTTGACCCCCCAACAACCGAGTTCCACTGGAAGATCACATCCCAGTTCGCCTCTCTGACGTCTCCATGTATCCAGTGTTCGGATTGGCCTCATGAATTGAGTGAGAAAGGATAGTAAAAAAATAGTTGTATACAGTAAAAGCTGATACTGATGCTTAAGAAAGAAATGAGTGAACCCTCCAAGTGAAACAAGAACGTTCAATGACAGCGAAGACTTTGAGGCATGTAGCACATGGACCTGAGTTCATCAGGGCTCGCGTCGTCCAAACTCTCGATAAACTACGAAACTACGTGGCTGAAGCATTTTGAAAGTGGAACTGATACAGTGCTGCAATCTTCTCTACCCGTTTGCGCAATATACTGTACTGCTCTCTTCATAGATACTACAATAAGTCGCGTCGAACTGACTCCGCAAGGGATTAGACCCTGGGCCCTGGACATCATTACTCCTTACTGTAGATACCACTCCGAACACAAATGCTACAGGCTCCAACAAGGAGCTGAAATGCAGCAGGGTAGCTGGAGCTGGCGCAGCAGCTGGAGCTGCAGAGGGCCAAAGCGACACATTGTTTGTCATCTGCTCACTGCTGGCCTGGGAAGGGTCCCTGCACCACAGGTGACAGCCCAGTGCACCAACAAGCGCTGTTGCGACGTGACATGGGTATATACATCGGTCCGTTGAAAGCAGGAGATATATGTCTGGTCATGGTTTCTACCTGCATCCTTTCACAGCTGGCCTCTTCAAAAGGTAGATTGCAAGTCCAACAAGTGTCCTTTTCCTCCATCCCTTTGTAAAACCTCTTCGTTCACTTCACCATTGGGCAGGGGCAGGGTACAACGACTCTGGATTTTTAGGGTTCCTGCGACCTTGAGCTGATACGTCACAGTTTCAGTTCTCCCCTTGCCTGTATTGGGAAGGCAAAAACCCAGCTTTCACGCACGACAGTTAGGCCAAAGAAGCATGCCAGTGAGCATAAGCAAGCATTGAAGTGGGCCAAGCCCTAGTACAACAGCCTTGACTAATCTTGAGGCTGTGCAGGCTGTACAATAAGTGTTTTTCAGTATTGCCACGGAACTTTCCTTCTTCACAGGTTGAAATAGGCAGGGCCAGTTGCGAGCAAACAAGGAATTTGGACGGCAGGGCATGGTGAAAAATGTCAAACATGGCAGTGACAACATGCAGAGCAAAAACAAGCAGCTTGCAGCTTGTTAGAACAACTGCCACCTTCCAGCTTGTGGGAACCCCTGGTCGCCTCTGCTCACTTGATCTATTTTGGGGCATTCCCCAGTCAAGAGCTATATATTATATACATTATACATACATTTAGGTACGTATCATGCACAACTGGCAAAACTACAGAAAAGCCTATATAATTCTAGTGTTTCATATTCTGACACCAATATCCAGCTCCACTTTGCAAGCTGCACGGATGTCGGTCCTTTGCAGCTCAAGACATACAGGACAGCAAACCTTTCTGGGCTTTGAATTTTTCCACCCTAACGATGCCTTCTTCCTGGTTTGATAGGTCCAGCTCAACATTTGTGAAATCAGGATGAATCAGGTGGTGTGTGAAGCAGCCCTGCAGCTCAAGTGGCGGTGCTTCGCTCGAGGCACAAGCCAAGCGCAGGCTGAGCTGAAGTAATTTGCAGGGCACGGGCTGCGCTTCTGGGAGTGTAGCCAATGAAAGCATATCCTGAGAATGGCGGAAGCTTCATAGCTGCGTCTCACAACACCCCCAAAAAACCATATACACCGATTCCTTGAGGCAAGGTTGAGAGCCGAGGGTGCCACGATCATTTGAGGCCAAAGATGCGTGACGGCCAGGCAGTTTGCGTTGGTTGGGGGGGGGCAACGTCGCAGTAGAAGTGATTCCCGCTTGCATGCTTGCCGATTCTGATACCACCCCACCGGAGCCAGGCGGAACCCAGAGTTCTATGGAGAGGATCCTTGGAGAACGAACAAAATGACGGTCTTGGTGAGATGGGCCCCAATCATTGTCCCGGTGGTGTCCGTAGCATTTAAAAATATATGGCTTGCCAACTGCTGGCACGCACCTTCTTAGAGAAATGTCGCGTAGAACAAACAGTGAAGAATCGCTCAGCATGGCTGAAGCCTTCTGCACAAATCGCCTACGACTTCAAACAGCGGCAGCTTTCTCCCAGGGAAGGCTTTCTTAAAAGCTGTTGGTGAGCATCAAAAGTATATAATTGTTGATAATTGTTGCATTGGAAGTCGTTACGGGATGTTACGGGAGGTAGCATGGGCCAGAATTCACCATCGTTGCAGGCTATTTAAGTGGTTCTTCAAATCAAAGAGTCCATCATGTCCATCTAGAAAAAACAAAGATACCTGGAATAGCCAACAACTGCGCGACTGCCAGAAACATCATGTTTTGTCCAATATGTACACACCAACCTATCACAAGCTACATGTGCAAGGTAAACCATGGCATATTAGCTCAGCAACCAGCCACTACCAACTTGACAGGCCTATCATCGCGGAAATCCACCTACGAGCTCTGGGTATGTTCATACTCCACTGACTCCACCCACCTGACTGATCATTTGTTGCTAGTATTTGCTGGGATTGAATAGTGCGAAAATAGAGGATCTTTCAGAGAGAAACAAAGAACCAAAACGTTACCTTTCTGGCTGCGTCTCCTCGGTTCTCTTGATAGGTCTTCCGGATACTTGGCACATACCTTGGGTGTGCTGCAAGAAACGCAGACTGGCCTTCCTGGTTGTCTTCAAAACAATGGGACGGTAGGCAACTAAAGGAAGATAAAGAAAACACAAGTAACTGCAGATCAGGTGCCAAAAGTGGGGCCTCGAAAACCCGAGTGACTGCAAAAAGCGTACAACGTCTTCATCCCGCATGCCTCGAGGAATGCCTCTCAGAAGCCAGACTTCAACCAACTGTTCAAGGCCGGCCGTAGAAGCCTCTGCTATGGCCATTCGCCGAGGTCCTAGGACCTGGAGAACTTGTCATCCGACAAATGAAGCCAGGAGCTAGACCGCTCCGCTGGTCCTGACACCCTGAGAGCCAGAGTGCAGCACTGATCCACGCACCCAAAGTCTCACAGTTCTCAAATTGACGATCTGCAGCGTGGAAACTGAGAGAAACAATCAGGGATACTGTAGTGAACCGTCACAAGTTGGCATTCTTGTCTTATTCCAACCCAACTTCGAATGACATTCAAAGGTTGGCGTATTACAGTTTCGTGGAAATATTCACAGCAATCAGAAGAATGATATCGTTCACAGGCTTACCCTGCCTATACTATTTGTACGATGATTTGGGCTTCCTTAGGCTCGTACAGCAGGTCCAGCTCTGCCTACCTCTGCGTCTTGAGCGAGTGCAGGTGCCGCAAAGCCTGCCACCTCACATTCTTCACATGAGGAAGAGAGTCGGGCCCTTCCAATCAATCAAAGTAAACAAAGAAACTGCCCTTGATGTTCGACAAATCAGCAAAGCCCACGTGCTTCCTGCACAACGCGAACTAACGACCCTCGGAATCTTTGGGAACCAAACAATGCATGGGAGCAACGTCCAGAAACCTTGTTTTTTGCCCTCTCCTACTACTTAATTATATAAGTAGGCGCCCACTTAATTACAGTAAATAAGGGAGTAAGCTTCTAGCTACTTAAGCTACTACCTACTGGAAGCACGATAGCTCACGCTCGCACTAATCATGTGATTCCTAGATTTGGGGGGGAAACTTAACTAGGATCCTTGTGCGCAGCCCTATGCGACCGTTTCTGTTCAAATACCAGTGAGCGCAGCTACCTGGAAAGGCACTTTGCATGTTTGATTTGGTCTATGGTGGGATGGTGCAGCCCCATAAAAGCTGCACGGGTAAGATACAGTCTTGCGAAGTGCGAAGAATCTTCAAGGAGCGAAACAAGCAACCAAGAGAGTCAAACAAAATTGATCGTGGACACAGTGTATCAACGAATTCAGCCTGTGTATATATATATACTTACAGTATGGTTTTGTGTTTGCTAAACAAGAAAAATAGAGACATGTTTCGCCACTACCCCCATCTTGCCAATGCCTTTTGTAACGCTTAAAGAACCTTCCCCAAGAATCTAGGAACCGTTTGGATCATGCAAAGAGTTCTTCAGGTAGGATTTTCCTGCCTCTCGCTTCAGAAAACGTGTCCTCAAAGAGCTCTCGTGCATCCTTGTACGTGGTATCCTCCGTGCTACTACTATGTAGCTAGTTGGCTACTACCTACCTCCCGGCCTCTCCTGTCCCCGGCAGCCTAACCCCCCTCAGAAAAAAAAAAGAAGTAAGAAAGAAACAAAGAAACAAAGATAGATAGATAGATAGATTCCAAGGCTCCTGTATACCGCCGGTAGGCTCCGCCGGTAGAATTCTCGGCACCCCTACAATTGTTGCAGCAGCTGCTCGCCTGAGGATCTCAGAGAAATGATAAACTACAAGTGTGGGTCGTATGCGGTACTAGTAGCTCCTGGCAGCTTAGTGCGAGCGCTGCTTCAAGGAACCTTCCCCAGCCCTAAACGGGGGGAGCTTCCTTGAAGAAGCGTGAGCTATCCTGCGTCTATACTAGTAGCTACCTAGCTACTACTAGCTACCTAGCTACTACTAGCTACCTACCTACTACTAGCTACATACCTACCTCACCTCTCGCGGCCTACCCCCCTTTTAAAAAGATAAAAGCAAGAAACTTCTCTTTGGAGCACAGTTGTGAGAATCGAAATTGATCCGTGATCGTTCTGCTTCGGACCCAAACCTTGGCCAAACAATCTCGTACAAACTTTCAAGAGCTAAGTGCCTCGATGTTGGAAGAAGCCAGGCCTCAAAGATATTGGCAAATTTCATTGACACCAATACATACTCATATTATAAGATCTTACAAGCCATACAGTAAGCCTCAAATTTGCTCAGTTTGTTTGTGCAAGGGCTTTGGGTAAATGCAATCATCTAATTGTCTGAAAGTGGCAATCTCCTACAAGGCTTTAGTATGTAAAGCAAAAAGGAGCAGCAGAAGTCGGGAAACCAAACCACAAAACCAAAGCGCTCCCTTGTCCGGGCCTCACCAAGACCGCACATGCCCACTGCACATCCCACAGCCTGTACGTGCAATGATTTGTGACAGCATGTGCACCTTTCTGTACACTTGGCCTGACTGTTGCATGACTGCATATGCACTTGTCTGCCCTAGCGCACTCAGATAGGTCTTCTTGGTCCCTCACGGCAAACAAGAGGCCCCAGCTGCGTCTCTCCTGCGCTTCAGTCGAACAAATCGAGCTGTTTAGGGAAAGGTGCAGAACAAACGATATTAAACAGTTCTACATGTGTGTCCTTGAGAAGGAATTAGAAGGTATACTATATCGTGACATCCATCCCGGAAGGTGACGCATAGGAGGCTCCCCATTGCCGCCCAGTTTCCTGGGCTTGAAGTCTGTGGGCAGCCATGACGCCTGGCTGACAGACTGTCTCACCCTACTGACCCGATCATCAAAGCAAAAAGTTATACAAAATTATACAAATTTGACACCCTGAGAAACTAGTCAGTTACGGAAGTCGGAAATAGGTGTGATGTTTACAAAGGAACATGTGACTGCAACTTTCTAACTTTGACTCAACAACTCCGCTTGAAATTTTCAGAAACGGCGCGTCTTGGCCTGGAGAAGAGGCGAGATGAAAAACAAAAATGTCCTTGAACCACGGGTCAAGCAGACATTCAAATGTTTCGTCATGGATGTTGATGATATTGCAGCCATGTTTGGCTGATCGTGAATAATGAAGAAGTGGACTGAAATGAAATGAAATGAAATAAACAAAACCATGCAAAGTCAAGTGCTCATCTCAGTGCATGTTTCAAGTCTTGGTGGCTCAGCGGATCTTTTTCCTGTGCTAAGGCCGTATAAGGCAATGCAAGCCCTGAAGCCCTTCAGCTTCAAGGGCCAGTCTAAACCGCGGCGGCTTCTTTGTGGGGATTTGCAAGTGGGACGATGTACCTGCACAAAGCTATAAAGATCTCATCTGCAGTGCAGTAAATATACAATAGATAATAGCAGTCTCTAACTGTCCCATTGAAACTGAATAGCCCAAGAAAAACAACAACAACAACTGGGCATGAATCCGCCAGTCAGCAACGGCAACATCGCAAGTTCACCAAGTGTTGCGTTGAGCCTTTTCCGTATGACATCAGCGTCACAACACGGCAATATGTCGCATAGCACATGTGTCTGCAGCTGTGCAAGCACAATGAAGCCGCAAAAAACAGCCACGGGGGAACTTGTTCCGGAACCCGCTCTGGAGCCTGCCAGCATGTAGCACCACAGCATGACCCCGACATCAAAATCTCAGCATGGCAACATGTCAGCATGTCAGCATGAACCATGTCAGCGTGCCAGCATGACGACATGTCAGCACGACAGCCTGACAACAAACATTCTAACATGTCTACACTTCCACGTGACAGCACTATAAATAGCACACCAACATTGCACCATCTCAGCATATCGGCGCAACAACACCTCAGCGTGTAAGTATGACAGCATGCTGGCATGTCAGCAAAGACAGAGCGTAACAGTGTTTGTCAATTTTTGCAAGTTAGCGTGACAGAATGACAACATGTTCGGATGTCGACATGACAACGCACACAGTACGAGAATGGCAACCTAGCGGCGTGACGACACATCCGCATGACAACATTGCGGCATGACAATGTCAGCAACAGCATGTCAGCATATCTACAAATTTACTGCGAAGCCTCCTCCAGAACCTGCTCCAAAGGTTTGTTCTTCGAGTTCAAGGGTCCAAGATGATCGCAGAGCCCGAATTAGACTAGACTTCGGGAACAACCGGGCATATGGTAGATGACTGCTGATGTGTCTCAACACGATCTCACTAAGGATCCCGGCAGACTGAGGTTTGAGGAACAAAGCGATGAGGTGAGGACATCATCTCTGCTGGCGTCAACTCTCTTGTGTAAAAGTTACTTGTGTTTTTTTGTAAAAAGGTGTGTGTGTGTATATATATATGTGTGTGTACTTCATCTGAACGCTCCAGTTATGGCCCAAGAGCTCAAACTCAGGCAGGTAGCATTGAGACGGTTTTAAACCTTCCCTCGATTCCACGGTTGTACTGCCCACAAACATACATGTTTGCTTGAGCAACTGACATGTTAGATCTGAAGCTTTTGACTGAAGGGTGCGCAGACCACCGATGTGTTTGGGCAGGTTGTTGTCAGTTCTGAATGGGTTGTCCCCACAACCCTGGCGGTAGTGTTCCACTGACTTGTTCACTCAGCCTGATTGATTCTCAATATATAATGCAGATCACCAGGTTGGAAAACCGACTTTGCGAAATGCCGGGGTCACTGAAACATCGGTTTGCGAAACACCCGGGACATCTGAGAGGCAAATTTGCGAAAAAGTCAAATTCGCATTTTTGTTCTTCCAAACACACTTTCTGCCAAACACCTGCTTGTGCCAGTCCAATTTCTCAACATGTTCTCATGCCCACACGCTGACTATGCCCAACCATCTTCTCAAACATTCTCAGGTTACTGTAACATGTTTGAGCTTTCTTTTCAAATAAGAAGAAGCCTAGTTTGAGAGAAAGTGACTCTATTTGTTCAAAGGGCGTGCTACTTACAGATACTTAGAGGTTAAGTTGGAAAAGATTTGAAAAGAAGATCCTGTAAGTAGCATGAACCTATGTAAACTTAATGCTTGGGTACGTGGATTTGTTCCTTTATCCCCTCTTGGAGGAGATAGATGGAGAGGACGACGCAGCTAGAGCCGTGGAAAAGCCAGAAGGCGAGCGAGTAGACGGAATTGGAGCGCAACATCTTCTTCAAGACCATTAAACAAAGCTGCAGTATTGCGAGCGTGAAGTCGGACATCCCTCCAAACCATGAAGCAAATTCAAAGATGGGTGGGTAGGAAGTTAGGGAGGTAGGTAGGTAGGTAGGCAGGCTAGGGTAAGGTAAGGTCAGGTTAGTTTACGTTATGGGGAGGTCAGGAGGTCAGGAGGTCGGTCGGTCGGTTGGTCGGTCGGTGGGTGGGTAACGTGCTTTGCCAGCAAACGATTCAACATACAAATACAAACAATTTCACAAGACGACTTGGCACGGACCACTGACTTCAAACTTGTGTATTGAAAAAGATGCAGACTCCGTTTTTTTTCGAAATTTGGTTTTCAGACATAATTGCAAACAATACTTCATAATATGTCGCTAATCGAACAAATTGTGTCCCAATCCGGCGACCCAGATTATGTCGGACTATTAATAATTCATATAAGCATTAATCTGTCATGTTTGTAAAGACTCAATCGGGCAAGCGTTTCAACCAGAGTGAACAAATCCGTCCAACACGATGTGGGGACAACCCATTGGGAGCTGACAACAACCTGACAACAACCTGCTGAGCCATACAAAAACTTGAGTCTCTAATGAAGCACCTTGTACACAAGAGATTTGACGCACCTGCGGAGAGGGTTCCTCAAACCTCAGTCCACCAGGATCCTTACTGAGATCATCCTGTGATACATCGCCAATCCTCTGCATATGCCTAATTGTGCTCAAGGCCATCTGCTAAGAAAAGTCAAGCTTACTGCTCAAAGTTACTTCTACTTTGGCTCTAGCTGATTTTGGACCCTTTGATCACTTTGGACCCTTGCATGCAAAGAAATCCGCCCGCACCGAAGGTGCCGAGGGCGTTATGGAGGCTCAGGGCAACAGCAATCGGAAGAAATCTGCTAGATAAGTCTTAAGCTTTAGCTTGGGGGGGGGCCGTGTTTGCTCGGGCACAGCATTTACAGTGTTTTTTGAAGGCTGATACAAATAGACATGTTCTTGGAGCCAGCGTTGGCGATGCCGGTTACACCGTACTGACATCGTGCGTGCGTTCGTCCGTGTGTCCTGCCAGACCGAGACAGACAGACTAACAGACAGACTGACAGACCGAGACAGACGCACCGAGACAGACAGACTGAGCCCGGTTAACATGTCCTCCCGGCTCCGAGAGCACAAGTTGCTTGTTCCCGGCTCCGCGAGCACAGGTTGCGGCCGAGCCGGTAGGGCGCTAATGACACACTTTTCCCATGTATATATGTCTGGATGTGTCTCTGCATGTACGTCTGTCTGTATGCATGGATGGATGTCTATGTCTGTATGTATGTGTGTATGTTTTCCCTTTACTCTGTGCGGGCGGCTTCGACCGCGAAGCGGTGTGAATAAATGTCCGAAACTGCAGAGCTTGCTCCGAACCATTAGCCCACACGGGGTTCCAAGTTGCAGGCGCGGTTTCAGCACTAGTGGTTCTTGGCTAGGATCGGTGAGGTGATGCCAAAACCTCCTCAACCTCCTCCGGACCTGCTAAGGAACCTGCCGGAGCTTGCTCTGGAACCTGCTCCAACACTTGCTCCGCACGTTGCTCTGGAACCTGATCCTGAATCCTGCTCCGAAGCTTTTACTATGGCTAAAAACCCGCAAACTTCGCTGTTGGGGCAGAACAAACCATCAAGCACCAGAACATCCCCACCCCCATGTTCTACACCTTGCAAATGCTCGGGGCACCAAAGCCATGCAGGCATGATGACCTCAAGGAAAAGAAGCTAGATTAGAATCTGCACGCACGTGGTGGCAGTCACAAAATGCAAGAAATCTAGAAGCCTGCCACTCACCACACGGCGCATAAGGTATCAGATTGTTGAGATTGCAGCCATGTCGAGTAGATACCGTATCCAACCGTATCCAAAAATGTCTTCCAAGAAGTGCAAACTGTCTGTCACTACTGAGCTGCAAGCAGCCAGCATCCCTATGTATGCCCAGACCTGCATCCAAAAGTTTGTTCATCCACCACAAGCTTGTCTGGCAGCATGGGCAAAGCTTCGAAGGGCTTAGGAAAGAAGCGTCAAAGTCAGGTAGCCTCCAGGAGTTTCCTCGGACACAAAGGACTGCTCTGACTACTTCAAACACGTTTCTCATGCTTAGCAGGAAGAAGTGAACCATCTGCTTCCAAGAAAAATTTTGTTGCTTAATGAGCCTACAGCCTGCACCTTGAGAACAACTTCCCCCATAACTCACTGTGTTTCTGCTCAGTAGTGCTCAGCAGGCTCGGTCACCAGAGATATTCAATAGCTAAGAGGCATCCGCCGAGTGAAATCTGCCACCTCTGAAGAGCCAAGACCTCAAGTCGCAATAGCCTTCGCCTCCAACCTAAATAGTTATGCAGCTATACTTCAAATGTTGAAATGCACTGCAACACCTGTCCAAAAGGATTTTGCTTCCGATATTGACATGTTTTGACAGCCATGCCAAAACCCATGGCGAAGAATTTGAGATCCAGGCGGATCATGTCCAGGGCGTACTTGTTGTACCTCAATGCATACAAACCATGTAGTTGCGTGACAGGGTCACACAGAAATGGGTGAATGAAAGCAAGAACCAAGGACCCAATGTTCACTTGCAAATTCATGGTGCCAAGGCCAATACGAAAGCCCATCATGTTCAATGACCTGCAACAAAGGAAGCGCAAGAGTTACAGTGCCACACAAATGTCAGGTATGAATCCAGCGCATAACAACGCTATTATATACATACACATATCATGAAGACCCAACATCCAAGTCATTGCATGTCGGGAGACTCCGCTCCGGTCAATAGGTGCAAGAACCATCCAGTGCAAGGCCTGCCACCCTGCAAATACCCGTACTTCACTGCTTCACAAGTCCTGGCCTCTCGAATCGCCCAAGCGAATGACTTCTCCCAAGCAAGGCCTCCAGGTCAGGCAGACATGCGCATTCGCTTCGTTCGCAAATGCAGGTGGCTAGCAGGGCCACGGCAGTTGCCATTAGAATATATATGCTGGAATCACAAATGTTGGTGCAGTGATGTGCAATGGTTGGGGCATTTCCGAAGCCAATGTGGGGGCCTGAAATCTCATTTTGTTGCCTTGCAAATGAATAGCATGGCATGGGGCTAGATATGAGCCCCTGTCAACATGCGAATGCATTTTGCAATTTCCATGTCAGGTGATGGCATGTTTTCCATAGCTTGCGACTGCTGTCGCTTTCTTGTCCGAAGGGCCCTTGAGACCGCTCGCGTTACGACCTCGACTTGCGCAGCCATAAAGGTGCGATCATTGCTGTGTGGACTTCGGTTGCCACCTTTGCGATTGAGAGCCCCAAATGCGATGCAGTTTTCAGCAAAATGGAGCCAAAGTGTGCGCTTGGAAAAACAATATTGGGCCATGTAGCCTTGGTCTATTTGCAATTGGATCTGCCTTTAATGAAAGGGGAGCCCTAAGTGCTCGGGGAAAAAACGAAGCGCGCACGTTTGCCTGGCACCGCCTGCTATACACAGCCTTCAAAGGAGTCTTGTTTCTGGGTATCAACGCCGAGAATACTGCACAGCCGCGCACCAGGTTGCTGCCGCCTTTTTAAAATTTGTGAATCGCACATATGCCGAGCGTTCATGTTGCTTTGAGCGTACATCAACAAAGCAAAACGTTGATGCAATAAAAAAATATATATATATATGTTTTTTTCAAAAAAACAAATAAATAAGAATAAGAAAAGATCATTATATAATGTTAATTACTATGTACTTATCCTTAGCTGGCAAGTCTGGGGGAGCCCTACGCGCAAAGTCAGTCTGCTCACCAGCTGTCCACAGCATGCAAGGCAGGGCTCTCAAACAAGGACCATGAGGATGTCTAAAGAAGAAGACGCAAGCATGAGCTGATCACCCAAAAGCAAAAATCTCCGAACTCTCACAACTTAAAGGGCAAGACAAGTTGGCTGATTCATGTTCTTGTCTTACATTTGACCTTTGACCAGTGCCAGTTCCTGCTGATTCTCATTGGCTGTCGTGGAAATTGATGAAATTGTTTGCAAGGCTTCCTGTGCAAATGACGCCGAAACCTTCAGAAGTGGTGGCAAGCTGCACCGCAAGCCGACCACACAAGCCCGAGCATGCTGCACAAACCGAAGCTTCGAGACAAACAGACAGAGAGAGAGAGAGAGTTCGTGCGCGCTCACCTTTGCACAATAAAAGTTATTGTAGCTATCAACACCTTTGGATCCACACTGGTGCTGTGCCATGGGCAGTGCTGCAGTGCAGGCTGCAAATTGTAATTGCCGGTGTCAACCAATCAACTACCCTTGTGAGAGCCACAGAGACATCAATTGCCCGCTGCACCCCATGCCTGTTGCTATGCCGCAGACAACCTACACTGTAGAGAGTTGAGAGAATTGCACACCGTGCTTGCCAGTGGAAAGAAACTAGGGCAGAAAAGTTTATCACTCCGGTCAACTCTGATCTCAAAGATCCCAATAAAATACCTGCCTCTATATAGAAAATTTCGACAAGTGGCAACAAGGTCTTGCTGCTGGCTGGTCTTTAACAGACGCCAGTCTGCCATGTAGCCCTACACAAAAACGCAAGTTTGCAGACCAACTTCAACAGCGCTGAATCATCACTGCAATCTCAGGAGCAGTCCACAATGAACATTGCACTAACGGCAATGGCACTGACCACTGCAACCAGAACCAGCCTCAGCTAGGGTCAGGCCCTGCTTGGTTTAGAAAACGTCCGCATTTGCTTTCGATTGGTGCCGCCCAGGCACCACCGGTGGTCTGTCTTCGCGATGTTCCTGAACAATGTCAAATGATGCTGAGCATTTGTTGCCTAATTCTGCCTCTGGGCTGGAAACAAAATGTCGAACAAACAATGGTTTCCAAATGTCTGAGCTGAGTTAGGTGCTGTTTGATGTCGTACATGATTAAACTCATGAAGCACCTTCGTCATGTGAACAAGAGGCAAAGGTCGTTAAGAATGGCATTGAAAACTGCCAGCATTGAGACTGCCGCCAACATGCAGCCATGCCCATCAGCAGCTGCAAAAACGTCTTCTGCGCATGCTTGGGGGCTTCAAGTTGCATGTTACCCTTAGGTTGTTCCAAGTACCCTCATTCCTATTACTGGTGTGTCGGTTCCAATGTGTCGTCTCCAACGGAACAACTTCCAAACATCAACACCCTGAAAGCCTCAAATCCAAAACGCCGGAACAAACAAGGTCACGCTACCCGCAAACGACCCTGCCCGAAATACGCATGTGTTTCCAAGGCACCATGTGCGTTTCGATAACCCTTACAGCAGTTCAGCTGTCTTGGACTTTTAAGGCACTTCAAAGTACTGTGTTTTACAATGAAAAGTAGTTATTTGTTCCCGTTTACAGTGGGATTGTAAGATTAAAAGTTGTCCGTTGGTCAAACAACAATACCGGGAAATCTTTCAACCACATATCCCCGGATCCTGTTGTTTAGGCCAGCAGTCTTCAAGTTACATAGACATTAATGACAATAGATACCAGCCCACACCACTCCAAAAACATGACAGGCGTGGGAAAATATGCACATGAATTCGGAAGGCCACGGGGAAAAGCACTGTAGCTAATAGCGACAAAAACGCACAAATTTTCAGGGTCGTTATACGTAGGTGGCCTGCGGCCTGAGCAAATCCAAGAATGTTCAATGCAAACGAATGCGGGGTATACTTTGCAGCCTCCAACCCGTTGGGCTCGGGGTGCTCATGGTGTGTTGGACAAACCGAAACTGACTGTCTATGAGGTCCACGCTGCCCATGTTCAACAACGCACGGCTGTGAAAGGAAAAGCCGGCAGGACACCCCAAGCAGAAGCCCACAACGAAATCAAAGTGCGCACAGGAGGGACATATCATGTGAGGTACACATATGAAAGCACACGCCTGACACCTCACATGCGAGAGCACACACTTAGATATAGGCTCGCAAGAGCGGAGTTGGTTTTGAAATTCCAGAGCTACTGCAATTCGACCTTTAATGCAATTGGCAGTTAGACCTTGACTCGCAGAAGAGCAAGGTGATTCATCGGCTGAACAGAATGTTTGAACAAAGACGCACTAGCGCTTTACAAGAAGAGGATAGCCACAACCGGGCAACACCACAACAAAGGCAGGTACAGTCAGACGTCTCAGACCGCTTCCCAGCGTCATGATGTCATGCACTGGCCCCCTGCTGTAGCTGCACAGGAAACTGGATTATGTATAAATCAGAGGTCGTAGTAAGATGAACAGCGGTGTGTGAAACCCTTACGTACAGGGTGGGCACGCGCTTGCAAGCACACACATGAGAGATTGCACATATGAGAGCAGCACACATGAGAGCAACACAAACAGGGCACACGCATGAAAGCAAGCAAATGAGAGCATAAATGTAAGAGCACACACATGAGCACGCACGAGCGAGAGAGAGAGAGAGAGAGCGCGCGCCACATAGAGTACACCAAACACTGCGCCTGCCGCGAAATCTGCACCTCGGGGTTCACAAAGCGCTGTGCCTATGACGATGACGATATCTGCATTTCAGGGTTCACAAAAGTACTGTGCCTACCGCATGCCATGAAATCTGCACATCGAGGTTCTGTGCCTGCAGAAGGTGCCGCGCATCTGAGTAAAACAGCTCCGATCTCCTGCACCTGCCACGAGAAGTGGAATTGAAACCACCAAAACAAGGATTCCCTTGCACCTGCCACGAACAGTGACCACCAAGTCCGACATATCCGAAAATGTACCAGGCACCACAGCGAAAGCGGTCGCGAAAGAGGCACGATCACGGCCCAGCAAAGTACTATGCCTACCACTAATGACGACCATGCAACGACCAAAAGGTCAACTCTTTAGGTGAAAGTCGAGCAAAAGTGGTGGCGACACAAACGCGAGCCTGGCCAAGAACCACGTACGTACCATCACCGCAAGAACCCCTCACACAGTTGCGAGCAACCTGTTTGGGGAATGATAAAAAGGTGTAAGCTTAGTCACAGTCATGGTTTTTTTCGGATGGTATTGGTATTCGGTATCAGCGTATTTATCGGCATCCCCAAATACCCTCCCCGGCCAAGTTGGACTTCCAGGACAGAGCTGCCAGCAAGGACTTGGCCTTTGTCCAGCAAGAAGCAGGAAGAGCTTCGGAGGAGCTGAAGTAAGAGCTGAAGTAATGACGTACTTTAGCGTATTTAAACTTTACTGGTACAAAAGAAAACGCCTCTTGCTCAGATCCTGACTGAAAGCAATGCTCCAATGGTGAGGAACATGACAGGTCCGGCAAGAGGAACTTCGATGTCACCATCTCAAGAATGCTGGCAACGGACAGTTTTGGAACAAGCAGGAAGGGCTAGAGTGAACAACAAATTGCTTGGGTGAAGTCCTAGAAACTCAAAAGCAATGCTCGAGGAAAGCAAAGCTGAGGTGTAAGCTGTGCTTCGGAGGACGGCACTGTACAACAATCAGCAACGCCCTCGTGGGCGGTGGATTAAAACTCCAGCTCACAGCATCTCTTTCTACAAATCCCTGGCCTGCTAAAACCAGCATCATATTGCTATGCAACCAACAAACAAGATAGAAAGAAAGTTTCCCTTAAAATGTAGGAACCGAATCATTAGCGCGAGCGCTATCCTGCTTCCACATGTAGTAGCGTCCTAGTAGCTAGGAGCGAACAAGTTTGTCCCTTACTTAATAATATAAGTAGGCACCTACTCAATTAAGATCAATTAAGTAAGGAGGCAGGGCCAGGAGTAAAAAGGCTGTTTGATCTGACCTTTTGGAGGCTGAGAGTTGAGATAGGCTGGAGTGATTTGCTGAGACCAAAGCTGTCGAAAAATAAAGCCAGCGAGAATCGAAGAGCATTCCAGTTCACAGTGGAAGGCTTCGCTGGCCTCAGATGTTACTTCTCCCGCCAGTCTTATCGCCAAAGTGTCTTAAAAGTACAAACTTGTTAATTATCGTGTTTAAAAGTTGCGGCAACAGAAAAAACAAAAAGAAACAATGAAGAATGCGAACTGTTACAGCACAACCTGGCAACCTGAGTTTGTTCAGCCAGAAAACTTGTAATCTAAGCCCCCAGCCCATGCACAGCCATGGCATTCTTCGGCCTGGCGTGGACTGTTCCTGTTCCGCGATTTGGGTGCAAAACATGTTCGCAGTCCAAAAGCAAAGCAGCGTGATCTCCTCAAACCTCGAAAGAATTGTAAAGAACGGCCGCAGAGTTGCATCAGGCCTTCTTTTGTTCCATCACGTTCATCAGTTTCTTCCGTCGCACCCAATGTGACCTTGGAAGTGGAACACTGCTGCAAGTCGTCCACACATCAGGTTCCGCCCACAGGTCTTGACTCTGCAACTTGAAGATTTGGGCAGGGACATCACGCTAAAGAGCTTGCAAGTGAGCACCGCCAGAAGTGGACCTCACGGTCTCAACAAGGTCTGAGGTCTGAATGTAGTCCGGGCACGGGTTGCTTTAATTGTTGGAAATCTGCACGAATCTGCGGACATGAGGGACTCGGGCGGCATCGCATGTTCCTGGCTTGGCGTTATCTGGGGAGTAATAACATTACTGCCGCAACTTCGTTCAACAGCCATTGGATGTTCAACTTGTGGAAAAGCACTGAGTACTGGAGACGATCCCAGAATTCGCTAAATGTAGTTAAATGTCCACCCCTGCACTCGACAAGAAGAACCGGCAGCTTGCGAACCCTCCTCTTGTCCTCCTCTTGTCCTGCTGTTGTCCTCTGGCCGGCTGTCTTGCTGATACAGATGGTGATGATCAGCCGATGTCCTCCTTTGTAGTGATGCACGCAATCGCCTTTCTCGTGTAGCAGGAATTTTCCAGAGAAGGTGGTGTAAGTAAATCTTCAAAGCTTTGTTGGTCGTCTTGATCTGCGAAGGTCAGAATGGAGACAGGGGAGAGGACGTATTTACGAGCTTGAGTGTATACATGTGTATACAATCCATGTTCTTGCTTCACTGTGCCCAGGTCCGCTTTCTCCACCAGCCAGTCTGTCACCCTACTTCTGTCATAATAAGTCGCTTCTTTTTGGCCAGGATTTGATGATCATCTTTGTAGCACTGTCTCTATTTTGTCTATTTCTATTTTGTCTAGTTAGCTGGTTGATTCGGGGAAACTCTTTGTCGCTAATTGAAAAAGGGGACTTCTTCACCTCCAACTGCACTTGCGCCTACTTCACCTGACCTAAGACTCCTTCGCCACCGGTTTCTTCACGGAAGCCGTTCCATATGCGCCGCAAGAAGGGTGTGTCGTTGCCGAGTACACCGGCATACACTGGCTAGCGTCACTTCACCTCTTGAGCTGTGGGTCACACCGTACGTAGCGGATCGCAGTTTGGCACATGAAGCGTTTGAGGAGGCAGAAGAGTGCTATGTCATGGCCCTCGCCAGCCTGTCACAGGAGAGCGTGACTATTCAGCTGCAACCGGAGCTTGCGCGCTTCTTCAAAGAGACTGGGCAATCTGATCCGCCTATGCAAAGAGATTCTATCTGTTGTCCTTCGTGAATTTCGGATAGTTTTTGATTGCATCTGCGTGGACATCGGCTGTAAAGTGCATTTGTTTATCAAATATGTTTGACTAAGGTAGCCTCGGCTACTAATTAGAAGGGTTCCGTTCTGAATTTGCAAGGGTCATAATGCCCGAAATGGCGATCGAGTGCAACTTTGATCTAAGAGCATAGCCAGCCAAGTGGTTGCCAAGCATCAAATTGGAGATTGAAAATGTTCCTCGAAAACAGAAACGAAACTTGTGTTTGTGTGTGAAGAGAGCGCACAATATATTGCCGCAATAGAAGCAAACAAACACCAAAAAGTCATAATAGGATACAGCAGGATTGAGTTTAAGGGTTGGTGCACGGCCTGAGCTCCGCAAGCATTCATAACAAAGCTTGACTCCTGCCTTGCTCAGTGAATGTGTCAACCAGCAAGTCATTGACATGCACAAACCTTAAATCTCGAGGCGCACTTCACGGAAATGTGGGTTTGCCTAAAGTTACTAGGAGCAAGGACGCTACTAGGGGCTCCTGGCATCGCTACTAGGAGCAAGGACGCTAGTAGGGGCTCCTGGCCTTACTACTAGGAGCAAAAACTAGGGGCTCCTGGCCTTACAGAGACCACCGGGTTTTCATCTACTGTTCCTGTGTCCAGAGGTGATCGGGGAGTCAGTCACCGCACTTCGAGACAAAACCTTGTGAAGATGCCGGGAACTAAGGCCGGTTGCTCGAAAGAGTTGATTGGCAGTCTAGGTGAACATAGCTAAAACTCGACCACTGCAGAAACGTCCAGCTGTCCAGTGATTGTTGTTGAAGGTAAATGTTGACCTAAGTTCAGTTCCAGGTCTCAGAACATGTCAGTAGAGCTATCAGTTACAGTGGGTGATTATAAATCAATGTGTTGTGAAAGATGGCTTGGAGTTGCCGTTGATTCAATCAAATCAAAGATAAAGGTAGTGGAGGCTGGGAACACATTGCCCCTAGATGTTCCAGTCCTGTGAACTCTCAAAGCCCCTCATCTCCCCCTTGTCATGACTTTGTCTAGCAGCAGGTCAATGCCCACAAAAGCTGTGGCATGGGCGACGCAACCTGCGAGTGAGGGAACAAAAAGTGATTCGTGTCATGTACCAAATTCGTGCCTCCTAGGGCAAACACACTGTCTCCCGATTCTTGGACCTTGGGTCACAACCGCTTGTAGCACAAAGCATAAGACCGCGTGCGTCGCTTTTTCCTCAAAAAGAGACATCACTCTTTCACCTCCTTGAGATGCTGGCCCACCATGTGGTGAAGGTGATGGCAAAGAACCAAGCCTGGTCAAAGCAGTGTCCCGAATATGAATAAGGTCAGTGTCTATGTACATGGAGAATGGCACAAAGACATTTGTCTGTATACAATGCAAGGGTGAAGCAAACAATGCTGCTCCTTACAAAACTCCAATCTTGCAGAGTCAGTGGCAGGAAACAGCAAGATGTGTACAATCACCTCTGCCTCAGGAATGAGCAATTATTCGCAGTAAGAACAAGACACTGACTCCTTGCAAACGCGGCCCACAAAGAACAATCTCGCATCTCTTGGGCTGTCACGACGGTGTGTGTTGGTGACCTCATCATGGACACCCTTCGGATCCATCAACATCCCACTAGCAAATGTTAGTTGCGTGCAAAATGGTGCACACTGCAGCGCTATGGGTAGCTGTGGGTAGTGGCTCGCCGCAAAAGTCCACAAGTCCCTGCAAGTACAGAACGTGGAAGACTGAAGACTCGTGCAGGTTCCCAGGCCCACAATGTCACAGGATGAGATGAAAAGTACGATTCATAATGGGCAAAAGGTCGCGCAAGAACAAAGATCCAACGGACCCAAAGGCTTAAATTAGATGGACATCTTTGCGACAAAGCGATAAGAGTCCAGAATGTTTCTTGTTACTACTACTAGTAAGGCGTTTGTTTCTACTAGTTTCTTGTTACTACTAGTAAGGCACCTGTTACTAGAAGCGATGCACTTGTTCCAGAATCCAGAACATTAAATCTGGAATCTGGAAGAAAAGGGCCTGCACCAACAGGTCAGACACGGCCATCTCCATCAGAAGGGCACAAAAAATGGAAATTGTGTGGCCTGTCAAGGTGAGCAAATATCCTTGCGCTGACTTCAGAAATGCCACTGGTCTATGCAATCATTTCTGTCCGAGCACAATGCTAACCATTCTGAAGAAGTTCTCCCGCATCTGAGCACAGCCAGGCTCGACACTTGGATGCAACGTAGAGGTGCTGGGATTGTGACCAAAGTGTATGATGTGTTTGACCTTGGAGATCAAGGGAAAGATTTGCCCCCATGTCAACGATTGACAACGAGTTTCCAAGGTTCGCACAAGTACAAAAAGACCATGTCAAAGACCTCTTTGTTTCGCAAGAGGCTCAGCGGAACTTTAGGAAAGGAAGGAAAAGGAGACGGCACAAATCTAGGCCCCCGTGCCACGAACCATAGCAGCAAGACCTAAAGCTCAGCAGTCATGACGAAATCTATCACGATGATCCATGACGGACTGAATAAAAGTCAACACGTCTCCGGAGCCCCCACCGGCATAGCATCAGGCGAAGCCTTTGATCCTTGCCTCAAGTCAGGTGGGCTGGGATTGAAGAAGAAAAGGAATACATTTAATAAGGCCCCAGGGTTCTTTCTTTCTTTCTTCCTTTCGATTGAATTTGACTCAAAAACAAATTCAACAAACATACTTCGGCCACCTGCATCCAGGGCACGGAGACTCTAGTGTCAAGTATGCATGACCCAGGCCTCATCCAACAATCAGAGAGAGAGAGAGAGGGAAACAGAGAGAGAGAGAGAGCGCGCGCTGGCCGGGCCAGGTTTGAGGCGAACCGTGTTGCAAGTCGTTTGCCCATGCATACAGTGAATGCCCACGTCAGTGATTCGATGCGCACAAGCTGAAAGACTTGGTGTTGCATGTTGTTTACGCATTTGAGCGCTTGGCTGTTGACCTTGTCTCGATAGGCGAACACTTGACTAGCCTGAGGGTTGGGATGGATCCATGGGGCTGGAGTCTGCCATGAGAAGAATTGGGCACCGGGCGAGAAAACAAAATCCCAACAAGCCTCTGGCACTTCTTCAGGGTTGAATGTGCAAAAAAAATGTCCAAACCATAGTAATAGTAGCATTGAATTATGATCTGAAGCAAGGTTGTCCATTGCACTGAAGGGCCTGCCCCTCATGCGTAGTGTTCAAAAGCAGTCATACTAGACTTCGCGTACCTTCTTCAAATCTTACTTCAGTTAGTCCCTGCACACCTTGACCAACACTACTAACGCCAAAGCCACAAATCTACCCAACGGCCACCAAGAGTGACCAGCAACCAAACCACCAAAGACACCCCAAAAAGGTCAAGCAAGATAAGAAAGGAAAGCAAGTCAGCCCGACTCAAAGAAACAAACAAAACGACTCTCCTTAAAAGGGGAACACAAAAGAACAAAGCGAACCCTCCTTCCCTTCCTCCATCGCTCTGTTCCTTCCTTCCCGGGCATTCGTTGGTTTCTTCTGATTGTGCAACAGAGTTCTCTTGCGACGTAACCTCTCTCGTACATGTCATTGCACAAGTAAACATGCATATGACTTTCTTGAGGCGAGAGACGATCTATATAATATTGTTGATGCCCTTCTGCGGACATGACCGAAAACACAAAGTCCCAAACCAAATGCACAAAACAGATCCGATGCTCTGCAGACCTTTTTCAACGCTTCTCTGGTTGGGGTTTCCTCCTTCTGGGGAGGCTTCAAAGGCCATCAGGCCTCTCTCAACAAAAAGGGCTGCGTGATGCAGACATTTCATGGAAGTGCGTCAACACTCCCCCCTGTCTTCATTGAAAACATCTCCAAAAGTAAAGCTTTCGGCCACCTCACGGGTACTCCCGGATGAACCGTTCTTCCCGCACGTGAGTCTGGCCGCTAGCTTCAGTGCCTTTCCCAGGCTCAAGCCCCATTTCGCTGTAGGTGGTTGGTGATCCACCAGTGCATTTCCTTTTCGTCAAATTCACCAGCTCAGCTATCCCGGAAGATGTGGTGAGCAACATCTGCATTGTACCCACGACAATGCAACCAACAAACATAGTTTTCCATGCCCACTTATAATGGGCTTCAAAGCCACTTCCTTTTGCAAAGGCCAAAATGGCCATACAACAGCTCTGCCAAAGTCCCTCTTTGAATCTTCATCTTCACAAGTTCAAGACCCGCCTTCGGAGCTCTTGGGAGCAAAGTGTACACTGGTCGTACTTTTTCTCGCTGCCAGTCGAGCAAGGCAATGGCGACGGGGCGTTCCGGTGGTAGATCTCACCCCATCCTCTACACCAGATAGGTTCGCCCCTTCGAAGCCTGCTTTGCTCACTGCAGTAAGCACACCTGTGACATGGTGGGGAGCTCCTCAAGATCGAAGTCTGGAGTGACTGGCAGGACTCAAATAGGTGGTACCTTTGGCCGAACTTGGTGATGAAGACTCCCACATTGTCTCGGCCTTTACTTTCTCCTTTTCCACCTTCTGATCCTCCTTCACTCTTTCCTCCGGGCCGCCTTCGGTGCTGCTTGTGGAGGATCATGACTTGGCTCCCAGCTTTCATCCAGCCTGATGTCGCGATAATCCGTCTGTGAGGGATAGTGAAGGGTTTCCTCTTCCTCAACTTCCATAGCCTCCGGAACATCAGGTTCAGCCTCTGCTGGGACCACCCAGAACCCATCAAAGGCTGCTCCAATCCGGCCATGACCCTTTCTTCTGGGCTCAACGAAGACATCCATCTTATGAGCCACTCGCGGTTTTGGATGCCAAACTGGCTTCTTTCTTCTTGGGTCATTGGTCGGGAAGCCCCATAGGCCCAGTCAATCTCAGTCTGCTCGCCCTTTCCTTGACCCTTTCCTTTTCTTTTTCCTTTAGACCTCGCACTTGGCCTGTTGACTTCTCTTCCCTGCCAATCGACGGTGATTGAGCTTCCTGGCGATGGCTCGGAACTTGCGCTTTCTGGTGGACCTCTCACAGGGGGCCGGGGGATCGGCTGGAATCCCTGCTGCATGATCCCCACTTGGAACTGCAGGTTCACAGAGCCATGCCAGAAATCTTCTCAGGAAGAGCGTGGCCAGCACAACCAGCAAGGTGTAGCCAATCACCAAGAACTTCAAGGGCCCTTCGTCGGGCGATCGACCCCCTTCATCACCTCCTCCTTGCGCTCGAGCCTTCGCAATGATGGCCATCAGAACTGCCAGCTGCATCTGGTTGGCATTGATCTGAAGTCCGGAGCGACCTGCTTCTTTTGGTCCTTCTTTTACTTCCTTCTTATCTTCTCCTGGGTCTTTTCCTTGATCTTCTTCCTTCTTTGGTCTTGCTGCCTCTGGGCCGTCCTCCTTTGCTTCCTTCTTTTCTTCTTCCATCTTCTTTTGGATGGCCATGGACATAAGCTCCTTGAGCTCCAGTGTTCTTTGGATGGGAAGCGGCTTCGTGCCCAAATCAGCAATCATGATCAAAGGAAGTTTAGTGTGCAAAACTTCCGTGTTACGGACATTCAACAGCTGTTCAACCACTCATCATACACCACTCATCATCCACCACTCATCACACACCAGTCATCATACACCACTCATCACACACCACTCATCATACACTACTCATCACACACCACTCATCATACACTACTCATCATACACCACTCATCATACACCACTCATCACACACCACTGATCACACACCACTTATCATACACCACTCATCATACACCACTCATCATACACCACTCATCACACACCACGGATCACACACCACTTATCATACACTACTCATCATACACCACTCATCATACACCACTCATCATACACCGCTCATACACCAGCTCTGGTTTCAACAGCTCAAGCTCCAGGCAACTCCAGCTCCAGGTGCAGATTGCGTGGCAGGCGCAGCACTTTGTGAACCTCCATGCGCAGATTTCGTGGCAGGCGCAGCACTTTGTGAACCTCCATGTGCAGATTTCGTGGCAGGCACAGCACTTTGTGCACCTCCATGCGCAGATGTCGTGGCAGGCGCAATACAAAATGCGTTGTGGAGAGATAGCGATCGCACGAAATGCTGTATTTTTCAATGGAACCGGTGGCTCCGAAGCTGGCAAGTCAAGGTCTGCGGAACGACGGGTGCGAGACGGTCTCGGATCATTCTCGGATCATTCTCGGATCATGCTCGGAATCGTCCGTCCATTGGGATTAGAGTTTTCACTTGTTTCTTGAAGTGAAGATTTCGTGGCAGGTGCAGCACTTTGTGAACCTCCATGTGCAGATTTCGTGGCAGGTGCAGCACTTTGTGTACCTCCATGTGCAGATTTCCTGGCAGGCACAGCACTCTGTGAACCTCCATGTGCAGATTTCGTGGCAGGCGCAGCACTTTGCGCTGCAGGCACAGCACTTTGTGAACCTCCATGCGCAGATTTCGTGGCAGGTGCAGCACTTTGTGAACCGCCATGTGCAGATTTCCTGGCAGGCACAGCACTTTGTGAACCTCCATGTGCAGATTTCGTGGCAGGCGCAGCACTTTGTGTACCTCCATGTGCAGATTTCCTAGCAGGCACAGCACTTTGGGAACCTCCATGTGCAGATTTCGTGGCAGGCGCAGCACTTTGTGAACCTCCATGTGCAGATTTCGTAGCAGGCACAACATCTGGGGAGCTGGAAGCTGAGAACTGGCGACTTTGTAGTACAACTTTAGTACGCGGAGTATCTGGCGAGCCGGGCGATGAGAACTGGCGACTTTGTAGTACAACTTTAGTACGCGGAGTATCTGTGGAGCTGAAAGCTGAGAACTGGCGACTTTCTAGTACAACTTTAGTAGGCGGTGCAATCTGTGCAGCTAGAAGCT